TTACTATATATACTATATATACACTATATATACTATATATACTATATATACTATATACACTATATATACACTATATACACTATATACACTATATACACTATATACACTATATACACTATATATACTATATATACTATATATACTATATATACTATATATACTATATATACTATATATACTATATATACACTATATATATACTATATTTACTATATGCACTATATATACTATATAATATAATTTAATATAAACTAATATATATATATATATAAAATCATTCCAAATCGAAAAATACAGAATATTCAAGATTTGATTTTTCTTTGAATTCATCTTTTATGATGTTTGTTGATACTTCACAATTACGATTTGAAAGGTTCTGTTCAAAGTGGATGCCGTATGCATGCTGCTTCGCAGACATGTCAAGCAGTTCGACTGAACAAGGATGCTTCACGCATTGTGCAAGCACGTGCAATTCTGCCGCGCTCACAACTTTGAGCAAATTAAAAACAACATGTTGAACACTTAGGGTCACAGCAAGCTGAATTCTGACTTATGGCCAGAAAAAAACAGTAGAACACATTCATCTTGCCTCTTGCCTTCTTGATGACTTAAACCTAATTAAAGTGACTCATTTGCAGTGACCAGCCTCTCAGCCGCCACCCTCACCTCCACCTTCACCCTCGCCACCTGCAAAGCGCGAAGAAATGATAGCACATATTGAAATTCCAGTGATATAGGGATACCTGGACTTTTTCTGCAGAACTGGTTCCTCACATGTTTACATTGTTTTCCGACTCCTTTCCGGAAGCACAGTGTGTGGATTCGAAAAAAACAACTGCACAAAGATGTGGGTCCGCCCATGAAATGGATCAAATAGGATCAAATCTTAGGGGGGTCCAACATGTTCCAACATGTTCCAACTAACGGAAGCCACTTTTTCCCTCATGTTTTCGCCTCCTTCACCTTCTCCTCCACCTTCACCCTCTCCGTCTCCCACACCGTCGTCGCCTGACACCAAAGAGACTGCCCCGGACATCTTCAAGGTTTTTTTTTGGGGGGAAAAGGATTTTTTTTTGGGTGGATCTCCATTTGGGTGAATCCCCTGAAATGATGAACCCCACCTTTTTTATCAGGTTCATCCATTTTCTCCATCATTTTCCCTGGGTTTCAGCAACAATCGTCCCATGGAGCCTCCGTCGATGGAGCCCATGATGGCACCAACTTTGGCGTCCTTCGGCACAGCGATCCCCCCATGGGGTAAGCGCTCATTCGTTGGATCTGTTCTTGGTTGTACCATGTTACATGATTTCTTGAGCCAAACATATCCAAATGATATGTTTTGAGCACTTTAACATAAACAATGAGAATATTATCATTCTTGTCCTTCTCCTCCTCCTCCTCCTTCTTCTTCTTTTCTTAATATCACGATTACTATTTTTTGCAGCATTTCAAATAAATTTCACAGTCACATTTCATGGATTTTTGTTTGTTACACGCACCGTTTTCCCCTTATGGCCTTCTCGTCAGGCACGCGTTTCTTCACCAGGGTGGCCACCTGTGATGGCATGGGATGATGAAAGGGACGTAACTTCCCATGATTCATGGGATTTTAGCCATCAGAAATGGGATTTTCATGGGATTTAAACAACCCAAATGGTGATTTGACCAATGAATAATGGGAATATGAAAGGGAGATGAACATCTACAATAATGGAAACAGGAATGGGAGGACATGAAAACTTGCAATGATGGGGATAGCCAGGATTTATGATCAACAATCTGATATACGGGTGTATCTAGAAATGGCGTATACCGTCCCAAATTGCTACTTCAATAGTGACCGTGATTTTTGCCCGGTGGATCGAATGGTACACCAAATCAGACAAAGCCGTGTACATCCTGCTGGATCAGTGGATATTGTGTTGTTATGCTTTGCTCTTGATGACAGCATCCCATGATGCTTGCCAAAGAGCTTCCAGTGAATACAGTGGAGATGCTTTGAAACATGGATGACCCGCTGCCCTCAGGGGCCTTTCCACTACCAGCAACCAGGGCAGATTGGACGCACGACTGGAAGGAGGTGTCGTTGTACCACCCTTGCATGGCCTGCCCAAGCTGTGCTGGAAATTGGGTACTTCAAATTTGGCTAAAATCTATGGTCCCATCCCCTGGGTTTGAATTTTTGACCGATATCAATCCATATCAGCCCTTTTATTCGAGGGACAATCAAGGTCTAGTTGTTGCAAACGATTCCTCCATGCCAAGCGACAAAGAAGATGAAGAAGAAGAAACACAGCAAGGTCAATGCCTTGGTTACACGGCCAACACGCCACAGCAGAATCTTTGGTGTCATGGTGTTTTTTTTCATCCTTCAAGGCGTTGCAGCCATGCTACCGACATGATGATGGCAATCAGGATGTCTGTTGGGCCAAAGCCAAGCTCATGCAGCACCTGCGATTTACTGCAACTCACGGGACACACAAGTCAATATTCCATATGCGGTGGATACATACATGTCTGTATTATATGTAAATGTAAATGTATACGTATACGTATATGTAAATGTCATATACAAATGTCAATCTATGTGATATGTATATATATACACATATACACAGTACATATGTATAGTACCTTTAAAATATATCTAGCGTAGAGAGGTTGAATATACAAACTCTAAATGCTACAACTGCAAATATGTTTACCATGGAAGGTCTTGGGTTGGATCGCTCTCAACTGTCAAGCCTTGTTCACCAGGTGTTCCGTCAAGAAGTCCCAGGCCTCCTCAAACTCGTCCTGGTGCACAAACCGAGTTCAATGAAACACCTTAAGCCCTTTGCTTTCTCTATACACATATCAATGTTTGGGTATCTTTGGGGGTTCCTGACTATTGCAAGAATGCCTACCATTGATCGTTGAACAGAAAAAAAAGTTTCTACCAGCAGTTTTGCAAGCGTAGAACCACAGAAATATGTCCTGAGTGATCAGACCGGATCCGTCTGAATCTGCATATGCGAACCTGGGCGGCAAGCCAAAAAATCCAGCATGGCAAATCAGAATAAAGTAAACAATATGAAAAACACATCCCAGTAGATATATAAGCATAGCTACAGGATGCTACAGGCTTCTATCCCAGCTTGGTGTTCAAATCCCATGGTGACAGCCATGAATTTTTCAACCCAAGCGCACCCCCAAGTAAAGTGATGAACCACATATGGAAACCTCTATGTGCACCCAGCAACATCTTCTCAATCATATTGGGATCCAGGGAAGAATTCATCGCCTCAGTCATAGCAGTTGCAAATGCGTCCCAGCAACCACAGCTAGTTGACAGCACTTGGCTTGGAATTTGCACAACCCGACGGATTGCATCAACATCCAAGTCAAGGGTCAAAACTCTCCTGCAAATCTGAAGTATCGAGGTCTTGGCTCCCCCAAAATGTTCTCCAACATTTCCCCCCGTAAGGGTCAAAAGTGACCCCAACGATGGTTGGTTTCTGATCCTGAAATTACGAGTCTGTGGGTCGATTGGTGCCCCATGTTTGACCGGCACTTCTCTCATTTGCAGCTCGGCTTCGACGAAGAGCTTCTTGAACTCCTGCGATTTGGCTGCGTGCAGGGTTGGTCAGGCGCAAGATTCGCCATAAAAAGTGGTGGGTTTAACCAATGTACCAAATTCATATGGTTGGTTTAACCACTTGGCAAGCCGCATTGAAACATAATGACCAACAATCATTAGGGTTTGGCATAAATATTGGGTTTCAACGATGGCAAGAATGTTGGGACATAGACAAGCAACCATCATGCAGGGCCCCGGGGGATAATAGTAGTCTTAGATTCATCTGATAGGTTCAACAAACTCAGCAGCAAAGCTTGGCTCCAACTGATGTGTTCATTGCCTTCAGCTGAAGTCCCAGCTGATCACAGAATATTTCTATCATTTTCTACATTTGATATATATATATATTATATTATATTATATTATATTATAGATATAACTACATAACTATTGTATATATCTGTTTATATCTGCATGTTTGATATTTTTTGGGAATGTTTTTCCCCCAATCCCAAGCAATGGCGACAGGGCCTTGATGGTGATCGTCCCAGATTGATCCGCATCCAGCGTGCTGAAGACATCGCCGGGCGTCACCTTGCGCCTCACTCGTTCCTGCCAAGGTGGACCCTCCATCCTCATCTGGGAAATATATAACATATATATATATATATATGTACGTATGTACGTATGTACCTATACTCTAGTGTTTGATACACACCATCAATAGACATGCTACATATATATATATATATATATATACACATACATGCATGCATGCATGCATACACGTGTATATATATATATATATATGTATCTATGCACGTACGAGTACGTGCGTTCGTACGTATGTGCGTATGTATTGTATTGTCTTATATTGTAGGGTATTGTATTATTATGGATGCATGTCAGCGAATCATGGTTGATAATCATCGATCGATAATGGTGATTACAGATCAATGGTGATTGATGGCTTTATATAATGGTATTTGTGGGTAAATAATGGTGATGCCAATCCTGTAATTTAACGTAATGCAATGCAATGCAATGCAATTAAGGTAAGGTAGGATAAGGTGAGGCAATGGAATGTAATGGTATGTATGTAGGTCTGAAAAGGACGGATTGCCCTCTGGTTTTTGACAATTTAATAGGGGAAAATGATGAAAAACCACGGGCTGACAGTTGCCACTAGATGTGCCGGTCCTGATGAAACTCGTCGAAGCCGGCCTGAGACTCATCCACCTGCGCGGCTGATGTACAGTATCACTGATACAGTATCACTGACATGACATGAGTATATATATATATATATATACACGTATATATAATATAGAACCTCCCAAAACCCACAGGCTTCGGGTATCCGAATTCTTGGACAGACCAAAGGAAGCGAATCCATTTGAATCGAGACTGTGGATTAAGCGCGCGTAAAATTGGGTCATTAATAGCGCAAAAGTTGGGGTCACTAAGCGCGCATAAACCAAGTCATTCCAAGCGCAGAAGAGTTGTATATATATTATATATATATATATTATATATATATATATTATATATTATATATATATATTATATTATATATTAAATATTATATATTATATATTATATATATATTATATTTAAAAATTAATCGCAGGTTACGGGAGGTTACGGGCGGTTACGGGAGGTTACGGGATACTTAGATTCTAGAGATTCCAAGCTTGGTTACGGTTACGGGAGGTTACGGGATACTTAGATTCTAGAGATTTTAAAGATTCCTAGCCCTAGCTTGGTTACGGTTACGGGAGGTTACGGGAGGTTGCGGGATACTTAGATTCTAGAGATTCTAGAGATTCCTATCTTGGTTACGGTTACGGGAGGTTACGGGACCCGTAACCTAGCTAGGAAAACCAAGCTAGTAATCTCTATAATCTTTAACCTCTAGAATCTAAGTATCCCGTAACCTCCCGTAACCTCCCGTAACCTCCCGTAACCGCAACCAAGCTAGGAATCTTTAGAATCTCTGGAATCTCTAGAATCTAAGTATCCAGTAACCTCCCGTAACCTCCCGTAACCTCCCGTAACCGTAACCAAGAAAGGAATCTCTAGAATCCCTAGAATCTCTTAAGTATCCCGTAACCTCCCGTAACCTCCCGTAACCGTAACCAAGCTAGGAATCTCTAGAATCTCTGGAATTGTAGAATCTAAGTATCCCGTAACCTCCCGTAACCGTAACCAAGCTAGGAACCTCTAGAATCTCTAAGAATCTCTAAAATCTAAAATCCCGTAACCTCCCGTAACCTCCCCTAACCTCCCGTAACCGTAACCAAGCTAGGAATCTCTAAATTCTCTAGCATCTCTAGAATCCAAGTATCCCGTAACCTCCCGTAACCTCCCGTAACCTCCCGTAACCTCCCGTAACCGCAACCAAGCTAGGAATCTCTCGAATCTCTAGAATCTAGAATCTCTAGAATCTAAGTATCCCGTAACCTCCCGTAACCTCCCGTAACCGTAACCAAGCTAGGAATCTCTAGAATCTCTAAAATCTAAGTATCCCGTAACCTCCCGTAAGCTCCCGTAACCTCCCGTAACCGTAACCAAGCTAGGAATCTCCAGAATCTCTAGAATCTCTAGAACCTCTAGAATCTCTAGAATCTCTAGAATCTAAGTATCCCGTAACCTCCCGTCACCTCCCGTCACACCTCCCGTAACCTCCCGTAACCGTGACCAAGCTAGGAATCTCTAGAATCTCTAGACTCTCTAGACTTTAAGCGGGAGGTTACTAGATACTTAGATTCTAGAGATTCTAGAGATTCCTAGTTTGGTTACGGTTGGTTACGGGAGGTTACTGGATACTTTGATTCTAGAGATTCTAGAGATTCCTAACTTGGTTACGGTTACGGGAGGTTACGGGAGGTTACTGGATACTTAGATTCTAGAGATTTCAGAGATTCTAGAGATTCCTATAGCTTGGTTACGGTTACGGGAGGTTACGGGAGGTTGTGGGAAGTTACGGGATACTTAGATTCTAGAGATTCGAGAAATTCTAGAGATTCCTAGCTTGGTTACGGTTACGGGAGGTTACGGGATACTTAGATTCTAGAGATTCTAGAGATTCTAGAAATTCCTAGCTTGGTTACAGTTACGGGAGGTTACGGGAGGTTATGGGAGGTTACGGAAGGTTACGGGATACTTAGATTTTAGAGATTAAAGAAATTTTAGAGATACGGGAGGTTACGGGATACTTAGATTCTAGAGATTCTAGAGATTCCTAGCTTGGTGACGGTTACGGGAGGTTACGGGAGATTACGGGAGGTTACGGGAGGTTACGGGATACTCGATTCTAGAGATTCTAGAGATTCCTAGCTTGGTTACGGTTACGGGAGGTTACGGGAGGTTATACGGGATACTTAGATTCTTGAGATTCTAGAGATTCTAGAGATTCCTAGCTTGGTTACGGTTACGGGAGGTTACGGGAGGTCACGGGAGGTTACGGGATACTTAGATTCTAGGTTCTAGAGATTCTAGAGATTCCAGAGATTCTAGAGATTCTAGGGATTTTAGAGATTCTAGAGATTCTAGAGATTAGGAATCTCTAGAATCTCTAGAATCTAAGTATCCCGTAACCTCTCGTAACCTCCCGTAACCTCCCGTAACCGTAACCAAGCTAGGAATCTCTAGAATCTAAATATCCCGTAACCTCCCGTAACCTCCCGTAACCTCCCGTAACCGTAACCAAGCTAGGAATCTCTAGAATCTCTAGAACCTC